GTATCCATCATCGCGCCGATGGCGGGTTGTCATCGGAAACCGATGGTAAGTCGGTATCCATCATCGCGCCGATAGTGGTCATTTAAATACAGTGGTGTACAACACTATAAATTTCATTATAATAAATGCAAGCTGCACACCTTTAAATCGCTCTCTTTTAATTTCTGTATCTACAGACGAGGATGATGCCTTAGGGGTGACCTTCATAGAGAACAGGACAGTGACAGCCTTTGTGGTGCCAGAAGGTAAGGGTGTGGAGCAGACAGCTTTGCGAAGTTGAAGGGCCTGAAGTGCTTCTGCAAGCTCAATGATGGCCTGCCTTGCAACAGCCAGTTCGAATCAACTGCTTTTGATGACCTGCGTTTGTTTTTTGCTGGTATGACACGAGAGGGGCATAATATTTTTTGACGCGTTTTTACGTAATTCAACGATTTACTGTTGTAACATAAAAACAGTCATAACTTCACATAGAAGAGAGGTATTTCACTAAATAAAAAGCAAACCGTCCACAAATGGCACCTCTATGCTGTGGTATCAGCATTATTTGCTTCTATGCATTGTCATCATGGAAAATGTGTTCCCAAAGTAAGCAAAACTTTAAGTTCAGTGGGTATCCGTCATCGCGCCGATGGCGGGTTGTCATCGGAAACCGATGGTCAGTGGGTATCCATCATCGCGCCGATGGCGGGTTGTCATCGGAAACCGATGGTCAGTGGGTATCCATCATCGCGCCGATGGCGGGTTGTCATCGGAAACCGATGGTAAGTCGGTATCCATCATCGCGCCGATAGTGGTCATTTAAATACAGTGGTGTACAACACTATAAATTTCATTATAATAAATGCAAGCTGCACACCTTTAAATCGCTCTCTTTTAATTTCTGTATCTACAGACGAGGATGATGCCTTAGGGGTGACCTTCATAGAGAACAGGACAGTGACAGCCTTTGTGGTGCCAGAAGGTAAGGGTGTGGAGCAGACAGCTTTGCGAAGTTGAAGGGCCTGAAGTGCTTCTGCAAGCTCAATGATGGCCTGCCTTGCAACAGCCAGTTCGAATCAACTGCTTTTGACGACCTGCGTTTGTCTTTTGCTGGTATGACACGAGAGGGGCATAATATTTTTTGACGCGTTTTTACGTAATTCAACGATTTACTGTTGTAACATAAAAACAGTCATAACTTCACATAGAAGAGAGGTATTTCACTAAATAAAAAGCAAACCGTCCACAAATGGCACCTCTATGCTGTGGTATCAGCATTATTTGCTTCTATGCATTGTCATCATGGAAAATGTGTTCCCAAAGTAAGCAAAACTTTAAAACCTGTTTTCTCAAAATTTGACACTCGAACCCCTGTTCGCTTTAAAATGCCATAACTTTTCACAGAATGCTCCAATTGCTTTCAAATAAAGTGTAAAATGCTCGAAAAAGATGTGTCTTTTAAAATATGCAAAAAAGTTCATTTTGAAATTTTGCACCTTGTGAAGGGTTTTCTCAGAGCCACACACGACTTCTGGCGCTCATATGACCTTATGCAGTTGCGAGCGCTGTAAAACCTCTATACCAAAACTAAACCCCCACTCAGCTGAGCTTGTTTACCCACGGCTGCAGTCTCATGTCTTACTGTTAATGGACTCATGGTCTAGGTTTGTGGAAATTGTACTAACATATATATATATACACCTTGGTGTTGATTTTATAAGAACATCTTGAATTAGAGACATGGATTCAACTTTTGATTGAGGGAATCATTTTTAGGATCAAACGACTAAGATAAAATAGGGATGGGAGCATGGACAAAGTAAAGGCTATGGTGTGACAGCGGTGCTATCGGTTGACCATCGGAAAGACACATTTATCCTACATCGTTCTGATGTTGGGTGATCATCGGTTTCTGATAGTGTGTGGGAACCCGACATCGTCCTGAAGGTTGTCATCGGAAACCGATGGTCAGTGGGTATCCATCATCGCGCCGATGGCGGGTTGTCATCGGAAACCGATGGTCAGTGGGTATCCATCATCGCGCCGATGGCGGGTTGTCATCGGAAACCGATGGTAAGTCGGTATCCATCATCGCGCCGATAGTGGTCATTTAAATACAGTGGTGTACAACACTATAAATTTCATTATAATAAATGCAAGCTGCACACCTTTAAATCGCTCTCTTTTAATTTCTGTATCTACAGACGAGGATGATGCCTTAGGGGTGACCTTCATAGAGAACAGGACAGTGACAGCCTTTGTGGTGCCAGAAGGTAAGGGTGTGGAGCAGACAGATTTGCGAAGTTGAAGGGCCTGAAGTGCTTCTGCAAGCTCAATGATGGCCTGCCTTGCAACAGCCAGTTCGAATCAACTGCTTTTGATGACCTGCGTTTGTTTTTTGCTGGTATGACACGAGAGGGGCATAATATTTTTTGACGCGTTTTTACGTAATTCAACGATTTACTGTTGTAACATAAAAACAGTCATAACTTCACATAGAAGAGAGGTATTTCACTAAATAAAAAGCAAACCGTCCACAAATGGCACCTCTATGCTGTGGTATCAGCATTATTTGCTTCTATGCATTGTCATCATGGAAAATGTGTTCCCAAAGTAAGCAAAACTTTAAGTTCAGTGGGTATCCGTCATCGCGCCGATGGCGGGTTGTCATCGGAAACCGATGGTCAGTGGGTATCCATCATCGCGCCGATGGCGGGTTGTCATCGGAAACCGATGGTCAGTGGGTATCCATCATCGCGCCGATGGCGGGTTGTCATCGGAAACCGATGGTAAGTCGGTATCCATCATCGCGCCGATAGTGGTCATTTAAATACAGTGGTGTACAACACTATAAATTTCATTATAATAAATGCAAGCTGCACACCTTTAAATCGCTCTCTTTTAATTTCTGTATCTACAGACGAGGATGATGCCTTAGGGGTGACCTTCATAGAGAACAGGACAGTGACAGCCTTTGTGGTGCCAGAAGGTAAGGGTGTGGAGCAGACAGCTTTGCGAAGTTGAAGGGCCTGAAGTGCTTCTGCAAGCTCAATGATGGCCTGCCTTGCAACAGCCAGTTCGAATCAACTGCTTTTGACGACCTGCGTTTGTCTTTTGCTGGTATGACACGAGAGGGGCATAATATTTTTTGACGCGTTTTTACGTAATTCAACGATTTACTGTTGTAACATAAAAACAGTCATAACTTCACATAGAAGAGAGGTATTTCACTAAATAAAAAGCAAACCGTCCACAAATGGCACCTCTATGCTGTGGTATCAGCATTATTTGCTTCTATGCATTGTCATCATGGAAAATGTGTTCCCAAAGTAAGCAAAACTTTAAAACCTGTTTTCTCAAAATTTGACACTCGAACCCCTGTTCGCTTTAAAATGCCATAACTTTTCACAGAATGCTCCAATTGCTTTCAAATAAAGTGTAAAATGCTCGAAAAAGATGTGTCTTTTAAAATATGCAAAAAAGTTCATTTTGAAATTTTGCACCTTGTGAAGGGTTTTCTCAGAGCCACACACGACTTCTGGCGCTCATATGACCTTATGCAGTTGCGAGCGCTGTAAAACCTCTATACCAAAACTAAACCCCCACTCAGCTGAGCTTGTTTACCCACGGCTGCAGTCTCATGTCTTACTGTTAATGGACTCATGGTCTAGGTTTGGGGAAATTGTACTAACATATATATATATATACACCTTGGTGTTGATTTTATAAGAACATCTTGAATTAGAGACATGGATTCAACTTTTGATTGAGGGAATCATTTTTAGGATCAAACGACTAAGATAAAATAGGGATGGGAGCATGGACAAAGTAAAGGCTATGGTGTGACAGCGGTGCTATCGGTTGACCATCGGAAAGACACATTTATCCTACATCGTTCTGATGTTGGGTGATCATCGGTTTCTGATAGTGTGTGGGAACCCGACATCGTCCTGAAGGTTGTCATCGGAAACCGATGGTCAGTGGGTATCCATCATCGCGCCGATGGCGGGTTGTCATCGGAAACCGATGGTCAGTGGGTATCCATCATCGCGCCGATGGCGGGTTGTCATCGGAAACCGATGGTAAGTCGGTATCCATCATCGCGCCGATAGTGGTCATTTAAATACAGTGGTGTACAACACTATAAATTTCATTATAATAAATGCAAGCTGCACACCTTTAAATCGCTCTCTTTTAATTTCTGTATCTACAGACGAGGATGATGCCTTAGGGGTGACCTTCATAGAGAACAGGACAGTGACAGCCTTTGTGGTGCCAGAAGGTAAGGGTGTGGAGCAGACAGATTTGCGAAGTTGAAGGGCCTGAAGTGCTTCTGCAAGCTCAATGATGGCCTGCCTTGCAACAGCCAGTTCGAATCAACTGCTTTTGATGACCTGCGTTTGTTTTTTGCTGGTATGACACGAGAGGGGCATAATATTTTTTGACGCGTTTTTACGTAATTCAACGATTTACTGTTGTAACATAAAAACAGTCATAACTTCACATAGAAGAGAGGTATTTCACTAAATAAAAAGCAAACCGTCCACAAATGGCACCTCTATGCTGTGGTATCAGCATTATTTGCTTCTATGCATTGTCATCATGGAAAATGTGTTCCCAAAGTAAGCAAAACTTTAAGTTCAGTGGGTATCCGTCATCGCGCCGATGGCGGGTTGTCATCGGAAACCGATGGTCAGTGGGTATCCATCATCGCGCCGATGGCGGGTTGTCATCGGAAACCGATGGTCAGTGGGTATCCATCATCGCGCCGATGGCGGGTTGTCATCGGAAACCGATGGTAAGTCGGTATCCATCATCGCGCCGATAGTGGTCATTTAAATACAGTGGTGTACAACACTATAAATTTCATTATAATAAATGCAAGCTGCACACCTTTAAATCGCTCTCTTTTAATTTCTGTATCTACAGACGAGGATGATGCCTTAGGGGTGACCTTCATAGAGAACAGGACAGTGACAGCCTTTGTGGTGCCAGAAGGTAAGGGTGTGGAGCAGACAGATTTGCGAAGTTGAAGGGCCTGAAGTGCTTCTGCAAGCTCAATGATGGCCTGCCTTGCAACAGCCAGTTCGAATCAACTGCTTTTGATGACCTGCGTTTGTTTTTTGCTGGTATGACACGAGAGGGGCATAATATTTTTTGACGCGTTTTTACGTAATTCAACGATTTACTGTTGTAACATAAAAACAGTCATAACTTCACATAGAAGAGAGGTATTTCACTAAATAAAAAGCAAACCGTCCACAAATGGCACCTCTATGCTGTGGTATCAGTATTATTTGCTTCTATGCATTGTCATCATGGAAAATGTGTTCCCAAAGTAAGCAAAACTTTAAGTTCAGTGGGTATCCGTCATCGCGCCGATGGCGGGTTGTCATCGGAAACCGATGGTCAGTGGGTATCCATCATCGCGCCGATGGCGGGTTGTCATCGGAAACCGATGGTAAGTCGGTATCCATCATCGCGCCGATAGTGGTCATTTAAATACAGTGGTGTACAACACTATAAATTTCATTATAATAAATGCAAGCTGCACACCTTTAAATCGCTCTCTTTTAATTTCTGTATCTACAGACGAGGATGATGCCTTAGGGGTGACCTTCATAGAGAACAGGACAGTGACAGCCTTTGTGGTGCCAGAAGGTAAGGGTGTGGAGCAGACAGCTTTGCGAAGTTGAAGGGCCTGAAGTGCTTCTGCAAGCTCAATGATGGCCTGCCTTGCAACAGCCAGTTCGAATCAACTGCTTTTGACGACCTGCGTTTGTCTTTTGCTGGTATGACACGAGAGGGGCATAATATTTTTTGACGCGTTTTTACGTAATTCAACGATTTACTGTTGTAACATAAAAACAGTCATAACTTCACATAGAAGAGAGGTATTTCACTAAATAAAAAGCAAACCGTCCACAAATGGCACCTCTATGCTGTGGTATCAGCATTATTTGCTTCTATGCATTGTCATCATGGAAAATGTGTTCCCAAAGTAAGCAAAACTTTAAAACCTGTTTTCTCAAAATTTGACACTCGAACCCCTGTTCGCTTTAAAATGCCATAACTTTTCACAGAATGCTCCAATTGCTTTCAAATAAAGTGTAAAATGCTCGAAAAAGATGTGTCTTTTAAAATATGCAAAAAAGTTCATTTTGAAATTTTGCACCTTGTGAAGGGTTTTCTCAGAGCCACACACGACTTCTGGCGCTCATATGACCTTATGCAGTTGCGAGCGCTGTAAAACCTCTATACCAAAACTAAACCCCCACTCAGCTGAGCTTGTTTACCCACGGCTGCAGTCTCATGTCTTACTGTTAATGGACTCATGGTCTAGGTTTGTGGAAATTGTACTAACATATATATATATACACCTTGGTGTTGATTTTATAAGAACATCTTGAATTAGAGACATGGATTCAACTTTTGATTGAGGGAATCATTTTTAGGATCAAACGACTAAGATAAAATAGGGATGGGAGCATGGACAAAGTAAAGGCTATGGTGTGACAGCGGTGCTATCGGTTGACCATCGGAAAGACACATTTATCCTACATCGTTCTGATGTTGGGTGATCATCGGTTTCTGATAGTGTGTGGGAACCCGACATCGTCCTGAAGGTTGTCATCGGAAACCGATGGTCAGTGGGTATCCATCATCGCGCCGATGGCGGGTTGTCATCGGAAACCGATGGTCAGTGGGTATCCATCATCGCGCCGATGGCGGGTTGTCATCGGAAACCGATGGTAAGTCGGTATCCATCATCGCGCCGATAGTGGTCATTTAAATACAGTGGTGTACAACACTATAAATTTCATTATAATAAATGCAAGCTGCACACCTTTAAATCGCTCTCTTTTAATTTCTGTATCTACAGACGAGGATGATGCCTTAGGGGTGACCTTCATAGAGAACAGGACAGTGACAGCCTTTGTGGTGCCAGAAGGTAAGGGTGTGGAGCAGACAGATTTGCGAAGTTGAAGGGCCTGAAGTGCTTCTGCAAGCTCAATGATGGCCTGCCTTGCAACAGCCAGTTCGAATCAACTGCTTTTGATGACCTGCGTTTGTTTTTTGCTGGTATGACACGAGAGGGGCATAATATTTTTTGACGCGTTTTTACGTAATTCAACGATTTACTGTTGTAACATAAAAACAGTCATAACTTCACATAGAAGAGAGGTATTTCACTAAATAAAAAGCAAACCGTCCACAAATGGCACCTCTATGCTGTGGTATCAGCATTATTTGCTTCTATGCATTGTCATCATGGAAAATGTGTTCCCAAAGTAAGCAAAACTTTAAGTTCAGTGGGTATCCGTCATCGCGCCGATGGCGGGTTGTCATCGGAAACCGATGGTCAGTGGGTATCCATCATCGCGCCGATGGCGGGTTGTCATCGGAAACCGATGGTCAGTGGGTATCCATCATCGCGCCGATGGCGGGTTGTCATCGGAAACCGATGGTAAGTCGGTATCCATCATCGCGCCGATAGTGGTCATTTAAATACAGTGGTGTACAACACTATAAATTTCATTATAATAAATGCAAGCTGCACACCTTTAAATCGCTCTCTTTTAATTTCTGTATCTACAGACGAGGATGATGCCTTAGGGGTGACCTTCATAGAGAACAGGACAGTGACAGCCTTTGTGGTGCCAGAAGGTAAGGGTGTGGAGCAGACAGCTTTGCGAAGTTGAAGGGCCTGAAGTGCTTCTGCAAGCTCAATGATGGCCTGCCTTGCAACAGCCAGTTCGAATCAACTGCTTTTGACGACCTGCGTTTGTCTTTTGCTGGTATGACACGAGAGGGGCATAATATTTTTTGACGCGTTTTTACGTAATTCAACGATTTACTGTTGTAACATAAAAACAGTCATAACTTCACATAGAAGAGAGGTATTTCACTAAATAAAAAGCAAACCGTCCACAAATGGCACCTCTATGCTGTGGTATCAGCATTATTTGCTTCTATGCATTGTCATCATGGAAAATGTGTTCCCAAAGTAAGCAAAACTTTAAAACCTGTTTTCTCAAAATTTGACACTCGAACCCCTGTTCGCTTTAAAATGCCATAACTTTTCACAGAATGCTCCAATTGCTTTCAAATAAAGTGTAAAATGCTCGAAAAAGATGTGTCTTTTAAAATATGCAAAAAAGTTCATTTTGAAATTTTGCACCTTGTGAAGGGTTTTCTCAGAGCCACACACGACTTCTGGCGCTCATATGACCTTATGCAGTTGCGAGCGCTGTAAAACCTCTATACCAAAACTAAACCCCCACTCAGCTGAGCTTGTTTACCCACGGCTGCAGTCTCATGTCTTACTGTTAATGGACTCATGGTCTAGGTTTGTGGAAATTGTACTAACATATATATATATACACCTTGGTGTTGATTTTATAAGAACATCTTGAATTAGAGACATGGATTCAACTTTTGATTGAGGGAATCATTTTTAGGATCAAACGACTAAGATAAAATAGGGATGGGAGCATGGACAAAGTAAAGGCTATGGTGTGACAGCGGTGCTATCGGTTGACCATCGGAAAGACACATTTATCCTACATCGTTCTGATGTTGGGTGATCATCGGTTTCTGATAGTGTGTGGGAACCCGACATCGTCCTGAAGGTTGTCATCGGAAACCGATGGTCAGTGGGTATCCATCATCGCGCCGATGGCGGGTTGTCATCGGAAACCGATGGTAAGTCGGTATCCATCATCGCGCCGATGGCGGGTTGTCATCGGAAACCGATGGTCAGTGGGTATCCACCATCGCGCCGATGGCGGGTTGTCATCGGAAACCGATGGTCAGAGGGTATCCACCATCGCGCCGATGGCGGGTTGTCATCGGAAACCGATGGTCAGTGGGTTTCCATCATCGCGCCGATGGCGGGTTGTCATCGGAAACCGATGGTAAGTCGGTATCCATCATCGCGCCGATGGCGGGTTGTCATCGGAAACCGATGGTAAGTCGGTATCCATCATCGCGCCGATGGCGGGTTGTCATCGGAAACCGATGGTAAGTCGGTATCCATCATCGCGCCGATAGTGGTCATTTAAATACAGTGGTGTACAACACTATAAATTTCATTATAATAAATGCAAGCTGCACACCTTTAAATCGCTCTCTTTTAATTTCTGTATCTACAGACGAGGATGATGCCTTAGGGGTGACCTTCATAGAGAACAGGACAGTGACAGCCTTTGTGGTGCCAGAAGGTAAGGGTGTGGAGCAGACAGCTTTGCGAAGTTGAAGGGCCTGAAGTGCTTCTGCAAGCTCAATGATGGCCTGCCTTGCAACAGCCAGTTCGAATCAACTGCTTTTGATGACCTGCGTTTGTTTTTTGCTGGTATGACACGAGAGGGGCATAATATTTTTTGACGCGTTTTTACGTAATTCAACGATTTACTGTTGTAACATAAAAACAGTCATAACTTCACATAGAAGAGAGGTATTTCACTAAATAAAAAGCAAACCGTCCACAAATGGCACCTCTATGCTGTGGTATCAGCATTATTTGCTTCTATGCATTGTCATCATGGAAAATGTGTTCCCAAAGTAAGCAAAACTTTAAAACCTGTTTTCTCAAAATTTGACACTCGAACCCCTGTTCGCTTTAAAATGCCATAACTTTTCACAGAATGCTCCAATTGCTTTCAAATAAAGTGTAAAATGCTCGAAAAAGATGTGTCTTTTAAAATATGCAAAAAAGTTCATTTTGAAATTTTGCACCTTGTGAAGGGTTTTCTCAGAGCCACACACGACTTCTGGCGCTCATATGACCTTATGCAGTTGCGAGCGCTGTAAAACCTCTATACCAAAACTAAACCCCCACTCAGCTGAGCTTGTTTACCCACGGCTGCAGTCTCATGTCTTACTGTTAATGGACTCATGGTCTAGGTTTGTGGAAATTGTACTAACATATATATATATACACCTTGGTGTTGATTTTATAAGAACATCTTGAATTAGAGACATGGATTCAACTTTTGATTGAGGGAATCATTTTTAGGATCAAACGACTAAGATAAAATAGGGATGGGAGCATGGACAAAGTAAAGGCTATGGTGTGACAGCGGTGCTATCGGTTGACCATCGGAAAGACACATTTATCCTACATCGTTCTGATGTTGGGTGATCATCGGTTTCTGATAGTGTGTGGGAACCCGACATCGTCCTGAAGGTTGTCATCGGAAACCGATGGTCAGTGGGTATCCATCATCGCGCCGATGGCGGGTTGTCATCGGAAACCGATGGTCAGTGGGTATCCACCATCGCGCCGATGGCGGGTTGTCATCGGAAACCGATGGTCAGAGGGTATCCACCATCGCGCCGATGGCGGGTTGTCATCGGAAACCGATGGTCAGTGGGTATCCATCATCGCGCCGATGGCGGGTTGTCATCGGAAACCGATGTTCAGTGGGTATCCGTCATCGCGCCGATGGCGGGTTGTCATCGGAAACCGATGGTCAGTGGGTATCCATCATCGCGCCGATGGCGGGTTGTCATCGGAAACCGATGGTAAGTCGGTATCCATCATCGCGCCGATAGTGGTCATTTAAATGCAGTGGTGTACAACACTATAAATTTCATTATAATAAATGCAAGCTGCACACCTTTAAATCGCTCTCTTTTAATTTCTGTATCTACAGACGAGGATGATGCCTTAGGGGTGACCTTCATAGAGAACAGTACAGTGACAGCCTTTGTGGTGCCAGAAGGTAAGGGTGTGGAGCAGACAGATTTGCGAAGTTGAAGGGCCTGAAGTGCTTCTGCAAGCTCAATGATGGCCTGCCTTGCAACAGCCAGTTCGAATCAACTGCTTTTGACGACCTGCGTTTGTTTTTTGCTGGTATGACACGAGAGGGGCATAATATTTTTTGACGCGTTTTTACGTAATTCAACGATTTACTGTTGTAACATAAAAACAGTCATAACTTCACATAGAAGAGAGGTATTTCACTAAATAAAAAGCAAACCGTCCACAAATGGCACCTCTATGCTGTGGTATCAGTATTATTTGCTTCTATGCATTGTCATCATGGAAAATGTGTTCCCAAAGTAAGCAAAACTTTAAAACCTGTTTTCTCAAAATTTGACACTCGAACCCCTGTTCGCTTTAAAATGCCATAACTTTTCACAGAATGCTCCAATTGCTTTCAAATAAAGTGTAAAATGCTCGAAAAAGATGTGTCTTTTAAAATATGCAAAAAAGTTCATTTTGAAATTTTGCACCTTGTGAAGGGTTTTCTCAGAGCCACACACGACTTCTGGCGCTCATATGACCTTATGCAGTTGCGAGCGCTGTAAAACCTCTATACCAAAACTAAACCCCCACTCAGCTGAGCTTGTTTACCCACGGCTGCAGTCTCATGTCTTACTGTTAATGGACTCATGGTCTAGGTTTGTGGAAATTGTACTAACATATATATATATACACCTTGGTGTTGATTTTATAAGAACATCTTGAATTAGAGACATGGATTCAACTTTTGATTGAGGGAATCATTTTTAGGATCAAACGACTAAGATAAAATAGGGATGGGAGCATGGACAAAGTAAAGGCTATGGTGTGACAGCGGTGCTATCGGTTGACCATCGGAAAGACACATTTATCCTACATCGTTCTGATGTTGGGTGATCATCGGTTTCTGATAGTGTGTGGGAACCCGACATCGTCCTGAAGGTTGTCATCGGAAACCGATGGTCAGTGGGTATCCATCATCGCGCCGATGGCGGGTTGTCATCGGAAACCGATGGTGTGTCAGCATCCATCATCGCGCCGATGGTGGGTTGTCATCGGAAACCGACGGTAAGTCGGTATCCACCATCGCGCCAATGGTGGGTTGTCATCGGAAACCGATGGTGGTGGGTTGTCATCGGAAACCGATGGTAAGTCGGTATCCACCATCGCGCCGATGGTGGGTTGTCATCGGAAACCGATGGTAATTTGGCATTCATCATCGCGCCGATGGTGGGTTGTCATCGGAAACCGATGGTAAGTCGGAATCCATCATCGCGCCCTGGTGGGTTGTCATCGGAAACTATTATGACAAACTTCAGTTTTGA